CTTCTGAACAAATTAATTATTACTTTGAATAGGAAGGCTGGCTACTCTTGGCCTGATAACTTTTAATCAGCCTTATTCTTTTTTAGTCTTTGCACGTTCTTTCATTGATATAAGTTTATAAGTCTTTGTTTTAGAATGAATTACTGAATAGAAAAGACTCAAAGTGCATTAACAGTTATGTCTACATTTCTTGTCCAAGGAAGAGTGGTCAGATATTTAGCAGAGCTAGATGCTGTTAGAAATATCAAGGACGTATATAGCACGGCTCCTGTAATTAAAGAGCTTGCAAACCAGTTGTGTTGTCTCAATACACAGAAAGGGCTATATTCTTTTAAAAAACACATCTCTCTCTCTCTCACTCTCTCTCTTTCTGTTAGAAACTTCAAAATTATAATGCTTCTTTTGTCATAAGTAAAATTTCAATTTATGGGGCCGGCCGAGTGGCGCGTTGTTTAGGAGTTGGCTTGGGAGGCCAGCTCTGAGCAGCAGGGCCCGGTTTGGATCCCACATGTGGGTCAGTGACGCTGCACCCTCTACAGCTAAGATAGTGAACAACAGCTCGACCTGGAGCTGGGCTGCTGTGAGTCCCTGGCAACGGCATAGACTGCAGTGGGGCTGGCTGGCAGCAGGCGTGAGCTTTCGTGAGCTGCCGTGAGCTGCCGTGAGCCGCCGTCCAATGGCCGGTGAGCGACTGCCTCACCTGGGAAGAATGCAATGATAATACCAACATGGGCCAGTGAAGCAATATCCTCCACAACTAGACTGAAGAACCAAAAGGACAGCAACTTGTCTGTTCCCCTTCCCCAATTCCCCAATGCTGTTTCCCTCCCCAATAAAATCTTTAAAAAAAATGTCAATTTAGGCACAGATCTGTTCCTTTTTAATGCTGTATTTTATTTATTCTGTCCATTAACAACTAATATTTGAGAGCATTTACAGTATGAATGGAAGTTAATCTAAGAGAAGTTCAACTTGCATTTTTGAAAGTGTTTCAATATCGGGTATTCATATGAGAGATAATTATAATAAAAATTATTATGTCAAAAACTTATAATAAATGTTTGATGTTGGCCTACATACAATTCAGTTTTTGGTGTAAAGTTCTTTGTCTGTAAGAAAGAACATTTGGTTTACTTCACTAATAGAAATATCTCTTAATGCTGGGATGACCTCTTCTTGGTATTTTTTTCTGATATTGACTTTTAGCATAGTTATCTGTAATTGTATTAACAGAGTTGAGTGGAGAGGCACTCATCATGCTTATTCCAAATACAAGTACATAACCAATTACTACAGTAATGAGGAGGTAACAGGCAATGCAACTGCCAATACTTTTGAGGCCAATAGGAGTTTAAGCCTAAGGAGTTTAGCCAAGATTCAGGAATAAAAGCCCACACAGGATACAGTAAGAAGTCCCAATTGGGAGCTTAAGAAAAGAACGAAGCCATAAATCACGCTTCCTGGCAATGGTGAATTTTCCCCTATTTTCCCTGTGGCTTTAGACAATCTCAGCACTGAGCGCAAGCACCCACCTAGGAAAACTGAGCTGAAGTGGAGGTAGCAGCCCCTGCTCATCAGCAGGCGCACTGCGACCCTTTTCTGGTGGGATCTCGAGAGCGCTGGGGCTGGCTGAGTTGCCCGCTTGCTGCCGTGGGATCTGTTCCTTGGTGGGGCTCCTCTGCCCCAACATACCTATGTTTTGGTATATCCTTTGTTTTTGCTCTGTTATCCATTTACCAGAATACTACAGCTTTATATAATAAGTCTAGGAGGGCACACAGCCCTTCACATTGCTGTTATTCTTCAAAAATTTTGCTGATGTTTCTGACTCATTGCTTTCCACGGGAATTGTGTAATTAACTTGTGAAGTTATATAGAAAACCAAACAAAACCCAAAAAGTCTACTGGGATTTGATCAGAATTACATTAATTTGTAGATTAATTGGGGAAATCTGATAAATCTGACAAATGATATTGGGGGCCTTCCTGCCCAGGGATATGGCATATCTTTCCTTTCACATGCTTCAAAAAAGACATTATTTTGTGTAATGTTTTTGTACATTTTTGTTAAATTGGCTAGTACGCACTGTATAGTTTCTTTTCTCTATGAAGAAGCCTATAAATGTTATTTAAGAACATAAAAGGTGATTTGAATAATCAGATATAACTTTTCTTGATAGAAATATATAACACCATACATATATAGTGCA